CCTCGGGTCCCAAATAATTTTGGCATATTTTGGCAGCCATAATGCCAAAATAATTTGGGATTTGGGCGGCAGGTATATTTTGAGTACTTGCTTGAAAAGTTTTTTTTTATTTTTTTAGTTTTAGAACACTCATATTTTGAATTGCATACAGAACAGAAACTAATATCAAACTCAGTACTGAAATTTTACTTATATTCAAATTTTTCATTTGCTTCTTTGAGAAAAGTAAGTTGTACTAGAGATAGTGTACTTGAAACATGACAATTATGTGTTTGGTAATTTTTTTTGTACAGTCAACATTTGCATCTGAACATAAAGGTTTTTTAGTTATGTCACAATTGCATGTTTTTTGTAATAGGTCTATAAAACAGTATAAATATTTTTGACAATTGAAACAAGTACCAATTTGATATAATGAAGACATGTGAAATAAAAAAAACATAAAACTCACAAAACGTGATGCGTATATTGAAACTATAATTTTTTTTTTATAATAAAATTTAATTATTTTATTGGTTAATATTTATTATATGATAATCATGTATTTCTGATTTCAGTTTTTGAAAAATAAATTTTTATTTTGATCAACCAATTGTTGACTAGACCATTTCGAAAATAGTGATAAATATAAAATTGAAGATTTTATTTATATTTGTTAAAAAATTTTATTAATTTATTTATTTTATTTTATACTTTACTTTACAAATTTTACTTGTCTTTTATAATTTTTTATAGTATTAAAAATTATAAAGATTATTTTCTTATTTAAAAAACTTTAAGTTAAACAAAGAATAATTTTTTATTATTAAAACATTTATTTTTTTAATTAAAAATATATCATATATAATATCATGTACAATGATCTTCAACCAATAAAAATTAATTTTTTATATGATCCCCTTATAAACATTATGCTCATTAACTACCCTAAAAGTTATATATCAAATTTGTTCCCTACTTCTTATATAACTTAAACAAAAAAAATTATAAAAATCAAAAATCGAAAATATAAATATATCATACTCTTCGCATTTTTTTTATATAGTTGCTAATAAAATATCAAATAAATTAGATGTATTTTTTTTAAAATAGATATTTATAACAAATAAAAGTAGCACAAAAATAAAATTTAGTAATAATCATAATAATAATCATCAGAATTGAAAATGAAAAATCTCAATATAAATATAATTTTACTGGTTTTATTGAAGGTAAATAATAATAATAATAATAATAATAATAATATAAATAATGAAGAATGATATAAAAAATAATAATGCTAATTATTCAATTAAATTCTATATCTAAAATTATATATTTTATAGAACATATAACAAGTAAGTTTGGAATCTTATAATGGTATATGTAGTGCATCTTTCCAGTTCATTTGGTATATTTGTAGTGAATCCTATACTCAATATAATAATAATATTTAATTTGTATCTAATTTATAATTAGAATATGATCTGCTACAAGTAAGTTCAAATATAGTAACCACACACCAAATTACAGAATAGTAGTAGAACCCACCTAGTGATCAATTAGGATTATTAACATATGTTACGGATTGGATGGAACTTCAATCTTATATTGAGCAACTCTTCTGTGTATTGGAAAGAGGGCTCATGTATGTATTAAAAAAAAAGACCTATGATAAATTTGAAGGAGAAAATATAGTATGTTTAGCTATAACCAATTCACAAAGTCAAGTTAAATTTAGTTTATCAATTAGCTTCACATCAGGGGAATCATTAGCATGTCAGATGTTTAAATTTACAAATTAAATCTGTAGTTTCTCTGTTATAGTATTTTAGTTTTGACACATGACAGTTACAGCATCTGACTATAGTGGATGCATTCACATAGAGATTTGAATTTGGATTGGATTAATCTAACATTCAATCTGGATTGAATATGATCTGCTGAATCCAAATAGTAATCCAATCCTGTTCACATAATATGGATTACATCTGAGATTTATGAATTTACCTCACGAAGTAAATTGGAATTTTATTATTATAATTGAATTTTGGATTAACCAATCTAATCTATTTTATGTGAACATGATTTGGGTAACCAATCCAATCCAAATCCAAATCCAAATCCAAACCAGTCGTGTCATAATTACAATAAGACATTACGTATGACATAGTTACGACATATAGTAACCTTTCATTGGGTGGTAATATGCAATTCTAATTCATTTATTTTTTTATTTGCCCGTCTAATAACTAAGATTACATTTGGTGTAATATAAATTGTAAATTGACAATACAGTTGTATTAAGACAAAAAGTTGTTGGTTACAAATGTTATTAATTCTTGTTATTACTTTTATGTTAATTCTTTTATGATGTTAAATCTTACTCACGTATTAGATCGATCTTTTCGTAATGATCACATGAGGAATCTCGAATTCGGATTTTCGCGGATTATCTATAAGCGGATAGTATAAAAATACTTTTTTTTTAGAATCAGAAATGTAAATTAAATGAATTCACCAAATATGGTAATAAATGATTTAATATCAGGCAAGTTATATATTCGGAAGTATGGAGTCAAATTTCTTCTCTTACCGACTTCCTAATCTTATTTTGAATTCATAATATCCTTGTATAACTTAATTAAACCAAAATAGGTTATTGTTTGAGTAGCATCCGATTTGAACAATGACAATAAAAAAAATAATTATAAATAGAAAATCGAAAATAAATAAATAGATCATATATAAAATATATTTGTTCTCTCCCTTTATCCTTCACACTCTTCACAATTTTTTTCTTCGTATAGTGTCTAATAAAATAACAAATAAAAGTAGTATAAAAATAAATTTAATAATAATAATAATAATAATAATAATCAGAATTGAAAATGAAAAATCTCAATATAAATATAAATACCTTGATCATAATTTTACTGGTTTTATTAAAGGTAAATAATAATAATAATAATAATAATAATAATAATAATAATAAGAATAATAATAATAATAATAATAATAAATGATGTTAATAATGATAATTACATTTTATATATTAATTAAAATTATATATTTTATAGAATATACAACAAGTAAGTTCGGAATCTCATAGTGGTATAGGTAGCTTACCTTCCCAATTCACTTGGTATATGTGTAGTAAATTCAGTACCAATTATACAGGTAAACACTCAATATATTAAATATAATTTATAATAATCTATAATTTATAATAATATCTGATTAATAATATCTAATTTATAATATAGAATATGATATGCAACAAACAAGTTCGGATTTAGTAACCACACCAAATTTCGGAACAGTAGTAGATGGTCATCATACCCAATCTTATAACCAATTAGGATTATTAACATATCTTACAGATTGGACGGGACTTCAACTTTATATTGATCCAACTAGCAACGGTTCCGTTTATTATGATAAGGGTTCATGTTTTGATTCACCTCAAATAAGATGTACTAAAAAAATGACTTATGATGAATTTAAAGGAGAAAGTATAGTATGTTTAGCTATAACCAATCCACAAAATCAAGAAGTTAAATTTAGTTTATCAATTAGTTTTACATTAGGGGAATCATTACCAGCTGTAACCCCTATAGGTACATTAACAACAACAGCAAGTAAACCTACAACATCTTCAACTACTAGTAGTAAAAGTCCAACAGCAACTTCCGAACCACCTTATTATGCTAATGGAATTAATAATAATTATATTAATAATTATAATATTTGGTGGGTATCAATACTTGTAGGTTTAGCTAGTACCATTTTTACTTTATTATTATTATAATAATGATGATGATTATTATTATTATTATTATTTGCAATTTATTCAATGAGAAAATTTATATGTATGTACATTAAATATTTAATATTTTGTAAAATATTATTATTATTATTATTTTTTTTTTTTTTTATAAAATTTCATTAAAATGAGTATTATTAAAAAATGAATGAACAAATTGATACAATAATTGAAAATATTAATAATAATAATAATATAATAATAATAATATAATAATAATAATAATAATAATAATAATTGATAATTAATAATTGAAGATAATAATAATTAATAATAATTAATAATAATTGATAATAATAAAACCAGTAATAATAATCAATAAATAATTATTGATTATAGAGATTTTTTACTTTTCCTTTTAATATTATCGCTTACTAAATTCGAAAGGAACATCCAACTTTGTATAATACAAATCAGTGGAACAAAAATCCATATCGAATTAACTCCAATGAAATAAAACCAATAATAAAATGCTTCCGGTCTACAATGTGGTGAACCTTCAAATATCGAAGTCCAATAATATAACACTAATCCATAAAGTTGACCTATAGAAAGTGTTAATTGTAATAAATGACGAGATGGCCAATCTTTATAAATACCAATTGATGTTAATAACGCCAATGGACCCAAGATCATCTAAGAATTGATAATTCATAAATAATTAATAATTAATATTAATACATCATCAAATAATTCATAAATAATTATATATATACAAACCGCGGTCATTCTTTCCACAACAACAATAGTTGCATCACTCGTTGCATATCTTGAATCACTTAATGCATATTCTTTCCAAATTTCACCAAAAAATATTGTATCTTCCAATATTTTATCTTGAAATAATGCAAAATAACCTTCTACGATTAAGTGAATATATCCTGTTACATTAATCCATATGAATATTAATTTATTATTGGTGGTAATTGGTTTTTTGAAAATAATTATTGATGATAAAGTAATTATGGCTACGACTGATAGGGTAAATATTGTTAAGATCGAGACATACGAATACGTTGGTTCGACAAAATTGGGAAGCTATTATTGATATTATAATTATAATTGATATTATAATTATTATTATAATTATATTATTATATTTATATTTATATTATTTATATTTATTATATTAGATTATTGATTATTTTTATTAAATTTTTTAACGATTAACGAAGTTATTATGAAATTTTAATTATTAAATAATTATATTAAATAAAATATTTATACAAACTTCAAGAGTTGTTGGATAATACGAATGAGTTGGTAATGTTGCTTGAAGAGTTGTTGTTATGCCATCTTTTACTACCGACACTTTTGTTGTTGCTGCTTCTGTTACAACACTATCTTCAACAACTGTATTTTTTGCATCCTTGAAAAATACCATATAATTCAGAACATCCGCTAAATAATCCATAATAATAATATTATTATCTAATTTTTCAAATTATCAAATTATTATTCAAAAAAAAAATGAAAGATAATATTTATCAGTAATAATCCAGATCCCCGGTAATTCAAAATAGGTATTTATTAAATAATATTTTTTACTAACTATACTATTTTAACTAAACTATTTTAACTACACTATGCTATTTTAATATTTATACTATTTATACTCTTTTACCCATTTTACAGGGGTTGAAACATTTCCAAATTTAAAAATTAAATTAAATTTCAGCCAATGAATTATTTTCCTAATTAAGATAAAGTTATTACTATAATCAATTAATTTATTATTTAAAGATTCTTTTCACATAATTATTAAATAAATATTTATTATTTTTTATTATATAAATATTATATAAATATAATTTAAAATGTCAATAATTAAAAAAATTAAATAAATAAATAATATAAATTGGATAATATAAAATTATATTAATTTTATAATCAATTGTAAAAATAATACGATCAACATATGTACATCATATCCTCATGTCTATTTTCATCTATTAATCTGATGATGTCTTTTCTTTATATATTTGTTATTATTATTATCTCTCTCTTCTATATCTTCTATATCTTTTATATCTTTTATATCTTTTATATCTTTTATATCTTTTATATCTATATTATTATTATCATTATTATTTCTTTTCAAAATGTCATCAGTCTCTTTGTTAAATTTTATAAAATTATCCTTATTATTATTATTATCATCATTAATTCTTGATCTATCCGTGAATTCTTCTATTTTCTCTAAATTATCCTTTGAGTGATTTCTATTATAATGATTGTTTTCTACAATATTTACTGTATTTTCTTTCTTTTTATTATTAGATTTAATATTCATATTTTCTAAAATTTGACTCCTGGCTCTTTTCACATCAACCTCCAAATGTTCTATATTGAATTCTTTCGCAATCCTTTGAATATGAAATTCATCAATTGTATCATTTCCATTTTCTATATTTAATCCATTATATATTTGATTTAATTTTTCACAATTTGTAGGAATCAGTCTTTTATCGTTAATGATGTGTCGAAGATGTTGTGCTCCCTTGAATGCTTATTATCAACATATAATAGTAAGAAGAAAAATAAATAATTAATGAGAATAAAAATAAATAAATAAAATAAATAAAATAAGAATAATTAATGAGAAAAATAAATAAAAAATAATAAAAAATGTTTCATAAATAAATAATTCCCTCATACCTTTATAATGACTATATAAACGAAAGACATTATAAAAGAATGGAATATTTGGTATAATTGGAACAATTGTAAATGTAGCTGATAAAGGTAAACACATTCCAGAATATATCATATATTTTCGATGATATGGTAATCGATTTTCAAGTAATTCCTCAAGTTTCATAATAATTTTTTCGGATTTTATAATATTAGATGGATAAAATAATGGAATAACCTATTAACAATTATATAAAATTTTTTATATTATATAAATATACATATATATATAAATATATATATAAATATATATAAATATATATATAAATATATATATATATAAATTCATATATAAATATATATATATAAATTCATATATAAAAATAATTATATAAAATAATAAAATAAATACTCTTACTTCACTTGCAGTATCTTCCTTTTCTTCTACTTTCGATTCATTTTCTACTTTTAATTCTTCTTTCAATGGAACACCTTTTAAAAAATATTCTTGGTGATCCATTCTATCCAATAACTTTTGTCCATTAACATATATCTTATATTTCCAACTGGAACTTTCGGCTTGAGAAAGATTATCCCATTTTTTTGTTGCGTAACGAGTTGCTTTGGATAAACGTGTTTGTTTATTTGGTATGCTGTAACAGTAATACGCGACTTTGCTTCTTATTATTGGTAGAGCAAATAACTTCATTATTATTATTCTTCTTATTATCAATCAATATGAAATATTTTAAATATGATGTATTTATTAACAATATGTAGTAATTAATAATATTAACAATATTACAATATTAATAATATTAACAATATTACAATATTAATAATATGTATCAAATGTTAACAATATGTATCAAATGTTAACAATATGTATCAATATGTATAACAAACAATGTTTAAGTTTAAGTACAGGAAGAAAATTGTGTCATAAAACTTTGCATCAGTTTTAGAGATCAAATTCAATCATATGACTTCAAGGTGAATGACGCAATAATTTAAATCAAGAAATACGTATTCTACGTTTACGCGAACCTGTATGTACGCGATTTTTTTTTCCACAAAAAAATAAAAAAATCAATTAAAAAATTAAAAAATTAAGTTTTAAATTTTGTTTTTTTTTTTTTTAATATATCACGAAATAATATAAATAAATAATATTCTATGAATAATAAACAAAAAAAATAAACGAACAAATGAAAATCTACAATAAGCAACAATAAGCAAAAGAAGTTATATCATTAATTGTTGTAAAAGTTAATAATAAAGAAAGATGAATCTTGTTTTATTTTATTCTTTTTTATAATTAAAAAGAAGGGGGGAAAGCTTCGAATATGTATTTAAATGTACAGTACATTAAATGGTATATGAATCAATAATAATAAAAAAACTAATATTCTCAATTGTATACAACTTGAAAAATATATAAAGAAAATTTTGTACAAGTCATGAATTAGACTGAAAAAAAAAGGGAAGTAAAAAAACAAACAAACAATTCTGAATAAAAATGTTATAACAACAAATCCAATTTTGTTATCGAATGTGGTTATAAAATGAGAATGTCTAAGAATTTTTTCATGAATACGATAATGATTCACAATAAATTAAATGAGAAAAAAGAAAATAATAATATAAATAAAATGATTTCTAATACATAAGGCTGTGGCCAAAATGGAAAGATGGATAAATGGATGGATGGATAGATGGATTAGAAGGAAAAGGTGTGATGATGATTGTTGCTATTAAATAATTTCAATAAAATTACTAAAATTACAAGAATTACAAGAGTTACTAGAGTTAGGTTCATTTTGTTTTTCGAAATCCAATTTGAGAAGGTGGTCTTAACCCTGTAGGTTGGTGAATGGATTGTCTAGATGTGCTATTATTACCAGGACTTGCAAATTTCGAAGGTGGTATTGCTTTGGTAGTAGGAAGTTTACTACCTCCCGATGAAGGAGTAGGTGGTGAAATCATTGAAGTTCTTTTGTTTTGTTTCGATGCAATTCGACTTGGAGAAGTCATTGATAAGTTATGAGAGGGTACTGGGGATGAACCTCTACCAGGTGATGATCCGTAAGAGACCGAACTAGCTAAAGAAGTAAGTGAATCCGTTTCAGAAGCTCCGGTAGGCGATTCTGGTGGTGTAAATATGAGGTATTCATCATGCGAAGATAGACTGTCAGAACTATGACGACTACCAAGATATTGATTAATGGATCTCACACCAGGAGGTGATCTGATACCTGATGAATCAACCGGAACCATCTTAGTGTCAGCTTTATCATATAGGGATTGATCATTAGAATATTTATTTCCAACGGCAATAGAATTCGGTCGATTCTTTTTTATTGTGGAAGCTTTCTGAGATGTTCCAAGGCGACTTAATGAACGTGAGTTTGGCGGTGAAGTAGGAGTAGGGGGAACGGGTGATTTAACCAAACCAGCTCGACTAGATGAACGAACCAAACCTGTTGAAGGTTGTTGTAATTGAGATAAAGAACGGGCGGGAGTTCCAACTTTCTTAGAGTTAATTGATCCGGGTGGCATACTATTGCGAATTCTACTTTGGGTACTTGAAGCTATACTCGAGGATTTGGGAGTAGCTACTGAGCCAGCCCTGCTCAGTGATCGAACACCAGGAGATGAACCATTATTAGAAGTAGACCTATTTAAAACTTCATCAGCTGAACCATTACTAATTCGACTTGGAGGTCTTTGATGATTATTATTTTCTGAGATGGCTTGAGCAACATTATGCATAGTCATACGATAAGTAGGTGAGGCAATTCTCGAAGGAGAAGTTGTACCTCTTGATGAAGTTGTACTTTCTTCGGTTGAACTATTACTAACAACACTAGTGGATCTTGATCTGAAAGGCGTTGTTGTGGATGAATTTGAATTATGTTCAATTCTTGTAGGAGTAACCATTCTAGAAGGGGTATGGGAACCTGCTCGGCTAGGTGTACGAAGTCCGGTGGTTGTTGAAGGTCTCCGTATTCCGGATGCCCCTGATTTTGTACTACTAGTTGAACGAACTGAAGTAAATGAACCATTTGACATTGTTTCATATTCATCCGGGTCACCAAGAGAAGAAGCTCTAGAAGATGTAGGTGAAAGAGGAGATGGACTAAAATGTGAACTATATCCCGTCTTAAATGTTCCAACAGGAGTTCCTGGTTTTCCATCCGATTGAGATGAAAACGGAGAAGATGCTTTTAACATTGGTATATCTAACATCATTCCCATATTTTCTTCCCCATCTTCAATCTTTTTTTGAAAATTAATGAATCATATTAATGAATAAGTATATTCAAATGCATATAATTCACGCAGAAATTCACGAAACAATACAACTTACATTTAAACTGCCAATCTTAGAACTTAAGATATCATCAACTTCTTGTCCATCAACTTCAAGAAGTGTATCACTGAAATTCTCATCCTCTTCAGCGATAACTCCAAATGTTCTGTGAGGAGAAATGCTATTCATATTAGGTGATTGAGGATCTGGTGATAGGCGACGTAAGGGTGTAGTTGATGGGGTCAAATGCCTTTCGAGCTAAAAAAAAACATACCAATGAAAAATAAATAAAATGGAATAAAAATTAGAATAAAAATTATGTGGAAGGAAATAATATTGGTATATCAAAATTGATTGAATTCTAAATGATAATACCTCTACAGGATCGATCTTCCAAAAATCGTCATCGTCAGAATCTTCACCATCATCTTCTAATGGCATTTTAGTAGAATCTAAATCACTATTTTCAGCAATTAAGATATCTAAATCTATTGAACCATCTGAAACATTTGGGTCAGATTCAGATGTCTTTGATCGTCTTTTTCGACTGTACGGAAAGAAAATGGTGATAAAGAGATAATAATAAATAGATTAAATAATAAATTAGAAGGTTAATAATTATATTTTCCCAATAAATGCATCGAAATTAAATATTAAAATATTTTACTAACAGTTTTTCTACTATTTTTTCTTCCGACCCTATAGAACCCACTACAACGGTTGGCGTGTCGTCAGATACAACATCAGTGGATTTTTTAGCGGGTGCCATTATAATAACGTCCTGATCATCATTTTGTTGTAGTTTTTTCTGTCTCTTCAGATTTTTTAATTCTTTTCGTTGCGCCACTCGATTAGCAGCCGCTCTTTGACGTTTTTCATCCGGACTCAACTCTATACTCTCTTGAGTGGACCGACTACTTGAAGTGATGATATTCGAACTGGTTGAATCGTTTGAATCGATAGTTTCGCTAAATTGGATATAAAAAAAAAGTTAATATATTAGTTGAAATTAATAATTAGAAAATAAAATTACAAATTTGGAAAGGAAAGAGAATATATATTCACCGTTCTTCAGGTATTTTATCTGGATGATTTGAACTCTCTATTGATTGGATTTGATGTGTATCATCATCTAATTCTAGATTGTCTATAATGTCGCTTTGATTTGAAGGCTGATGTTTTTTCTTCGCAAAGAATACTCTTAGACTATCACGCCTTATAAGTAATTCACTTCTTTCTTTTGTGTCTGTTTTATCTATAGACTTAGATGGATCAACAACCGTCTTAATATCTGTGAGTGTACCTTCACTTAATGAAGAGTTTTCGTCAGAAGTTGGAACAAACTTTTGTTGTTCTTCACTATTACCTATATTTGGAGTATTCTCTGTGGTTATGGGTATTTCCTTTAAGATATTATTATCGGTAACCTGAGAAGGATCCTCTATTGACTTCTCAGTATCAGTGTCAGTCGAGTCGGTAAGCTGTTGTGTATTAATTTCTCTCGAGTCAATTAGATTTTCCTTTTGAATATTAATTGACCGCTCTGTATCAACCGAGTCGGAAAGAGTAGGTTGTTGTGTATGTATTGACTCCTCTGTATCGATTGAGTCGTTGGTTTGGTCAGATTGAGACTGTATTTCTGATTGCATTGGGTCATTAGGTTTGGAAGAATTTGACGTTGGGCTCGGTTTTAAGGGTTGACCGTTCTTTAATGCTTTCTCCTCTTCTAACTTTCTTACTAGTAATAACTCACGCATCTTTCTAAAGAGTTGATAATACAGTTATTCATTGAGAAAAAAAAAAATTTTTACTCTAATAAGGAATAACAACAGTTAAAAATGTTTACCCTTTTTTTTTTTTATTTTATTTTTATCACGGATAATTAACGTTATAAGTTACTTGGAAATATATTTCGTTTTAAAAATAATGTTAAATAATGTTTAGTATGTAATGGTAACTTTAAAAAGTAAGTGGTGAAGGTTGCCCAATTTTGGTTTGTTATAATGAAATAAATGAATTAAATAAGAAATAAAAAAAAAGGTTCGGAAAATGTGGAAAATATGTATTTATAAGTAAAAAATCGGAGCGAATAAAAAACTTAAAACTAAAGCATAAAACTACCAAGAAAAAAAGGAAAACAAAAGGTAATAACGTATATACATTGAATAAACAGAAGCAAAAGAAAAAAAAACAATAAGAGCGAAACAAGTTTAGTTCTAAAATTCGACTAGTTTTAAATTATACGCAACTGGTTAACAATTTAATATTATATATAGTGCACAAATATAAATAAAATATGATGAAAAATGTTGTACACTATGTGCATTGGAAAATTGGTTGAATCGAAATTTGGGGGAATCAACTGAATCACCATCCAATTGTAATTGCGCTTAAACATACGTGATATACCCCAAAAAAAATGATTACTACGGAAAAAAAATGCTAATCTGGAATCTGGCTGAATTTGTAGTCGATAATAGAATTATTGAGGTGCATATTTATTATAATGTCTTCGGTCGATCTGACCGAATGTAAATCTGTGGCGCAAGATTATCTTGAAGAAATTTATTTGTTTTCGTATTTAATGCAAGCCAGGTTTATTTTTACATAAACTTTAACAATCGACATGCGTTAAGTATTGCATATTTCATTTATCACATCTAACGGTATCAATTCCTACAGGAATATATCCTTCATTAATTTTAGTCTCTACAACGTGGAGATCACACAGACTGTTCATATCGGTTCTATCGGTTCTTCTATCGTTCTTATGGCAGAAGAATGAGAATGATATAATATGATTACTTTCATGTCCCTCATTTTTTCAACCTATAAAATTTAAGTATTACGTAAACACTGCTTTCTTTTTTTTTGATATAAAACATACAAAACATATATAAGTCAAATTAGTAAAAAGAAAAACGAGAACCTTATCCATTAAAATTTTTTGTTTACAATTTTTTTTTTTTTTTAAATGGAAATACATATTTGGCAACGAATAATAACTCTTTAAAATTCAGGCTACAGTTCTTCTAAACATTCTGAATAAACAAAGGAGACATTTTTCATCATGGGCAACATGATCAAATGCATTTAGAAAAAAAAAATAAATAAAAATAAAATGTAAAAATACATTTATCTGTCAGGCATATGGAATGACTGATTGAACATGCTATAATTGTTATAATTATCCTGTATTTACTGTTACAAAAAAAAAATGGTTTGAAAGTTGATTTTTTTAATTATATAAAGATTCAAAAAAAGATGATCAATGACTAAAGTTTTTTTTTAATTATTTTTTTTTAAGAAACAAAAAGAAATATTGATTGGATAAAAAATAGAAAATTCATTAGATCAACAACAAGTCACACAATTCATGAGGATGAGAAATGGAAATCATGTGTATAAAATCAAATCCTTAAATAACTAATAACTAAAATATAAATAAATTTGGTGACCCTAAAAATATATATATACTACTATTGTATAAGATATTTAATATTAAAATAAATTTGTATGAAATAAAATTCTGTTACAAGTTTCAACTACAATACAAAATTAATAATTTGTTTTATGTCAAATTGTTTATCAATTTTTATTCATTATCCATTCCACCACCAGACATTGCTTCTTCAATTTCTTTCACTTCACCTTCCATTAGTTTACTTCTACTAAGTAATTTCTTGGCTTCTTCCAGTCTACCTGCTTTTTTGAATATTAATGCTAATTTTTTGCAATTAACAATGTAATTCTTTACATTATCCATATATTTATCAATAGTCAACTGTCCAGTTTGAACCTGTATTTCCATCAAATTTGTTTTAATTTGAATGGCAGACTTTCTATCTAATAAATCTTCCGGCACAGATTTTTGTTGTGTTTGTAAAGACGCAATCTGGGCATCAATTAATTCACTTTCTTGTTGAAGCAATTTACTTGAAACCATCAAATCGACACTAAAAAACAATAATAACGATCTTAGTTTACTAAGATTGATAAAATTTATGAAATTTATGATACTCACCTATTTAATTCTTCTTCAGCTTGTTCCAACTCATTTTGATCAATTTCTGTTGATTTCGCTTCTTTGCTCGGAGTTACGGGAGGTACATTATATGTTGACTGTTTTTGCGAAACAGGGGTAGATACTTGCGATGACGTTTTTGGTGTCAGAGTTGAAATATCTGATGCAGAAGTTTTTCTGATTGGCGTAGATGATGCATCCTGTAGTAAGTCAGGCTGAGATGATATGTCCTGTAACGAGCCAGGCCGAGATACAGGAGATGATATTTGTTGAGATGTTGAGGACAAAGTATTTAAACCAGAAGTATTTGTGTTCGTGTTAAACTCATCAATAATCAACCATCTTTCTTTTTTTGTAATAATATCCGCCTTTTCTAACGGATGTCTCATGCGTAAACGAATTTCTAATCTTCCACCTGTTGGTCTACGATTGTTATCAACAAGCTAATATTGAAAACAATTATTATATCATATAAAAAAAAATAATTTATAAAAATTCTAATTATATGATATTGTACCTCGAAAACATCATGTATTTCGGATTTTTTTATAAATGGGTCAAGCTTGACTTGAGCTTTTCCAAGCGAAATAGCTTTTCGTAAAAATCCTCTATAATGAAAAACTTCAAATGTTGCCTTTTTTCTTTCAACATGACGTATAAATGGTCTAGTGCGTTCTATGCTTATAATCTTTTTCCAATTGAATTCTAGTAAAATATAATATTTAATGAAAATTGAAAATTTCGATGATTCATTTATAAATTCAAATATTCATATTAATTTTTTTTTACCTGGATCCATGCCTCGCTTAGCAACGGAAGTATCACCCTTTCCATTACCAGCACCTTGACTACCTTCAAGTGGCCACCCGATATCCCAACATACATATGCTTCAACATCTTTCCCATTAACTTCTTTATTTCCAAGATTCCAAGCTCTTTCTATGCAAATTTCCAAATCATTCGCTGATAGATCAAAAAATGCATTCTCTATATCGTAAGTCACTTCCTTAAAATGGAAAGGTGGCATGTCTTTATCGTGTTTTTGATAGGATGCCAGGGATGCTAAATCAGCAACGAACGCTTTTTTATATCGAAGAAAATTCATAGCCTCATTCTTGTGACCACATTTTAGATAGAAAGCTGAGATCGTCTGACACGACGAAATTTGGGACTCTAAATGAACCTTTAGAAATTTTTCATATTGATCTTTCTTCGACATCTAATTATTCAAAACATTTTAATACAATGTTTTCGATATTTTTAAAACAATTTTTTAAAAAAAAATAACTTTACCGTAGTTAAATCCTCATTCAAAAATTGAGATTCATCAACGTTATCAATTGCAACCAAAACTTTCTCTTTAGAAGTTGATGCTTTGGTTGGTAATGGAGAGGGAGCAATAAAAGCTGGAGCCTTATTCTTTGGAGTTGCTGAACTAGGTGAACTAGGAGGTGCTTTTTCTGACATAACTGGTTCTCCAGGCAAAACCCAATTTTCAGGTAAATTTTCACCCTTTAATAAAGATTGAATGACTGTTTGCAAACTTTTAGCAATATTCATATATTCTTTGGCCCTTTGGTAATTTGTATTTTTAAAAACATTTACAGCATTCATATATTGATCCAGTCGTTGTTTTATGGATAAAATAAGTTCTGAGTTTGTTAAATTAGGTTTTGACGGTTGAACATTTTCTACTGCTTTGGAAACGGCAGTTGATTTTGAGTGAGCCACATCAGATGGAGTTTTTGAAGTTTTTGCTAATATTTGAGAACGTTTTTCTTCTAATTGTTTATAACCTCTAACAATTTCCATTGCTCCTTTCTTATCTCCTGCACGGCTTTGAATCACAGCTTTAAGTTTTTCTTGTTGAATGTATTTAGCCAAAATATCCACATTTTCTTCTAATAATTTGACTTCAAGTGGCGAATCAGCATCAGACGTACCAATTGTAGATTGATCTTCTTTTGGTTGAAATTGTGATTGATCATCTTGTTCTATAGATTTGCCCACATTATAATTTCTTTCATCTGAACTTTCCGGTTGTTTAGATTGTTTATGTATATTTTCATTTTCCTCTTCTTTCTTAGCATTTACATCTTCCTCACTTTGATAGCCTAGACTTTTTAAATCATTCTACCATATTATAAATATTTTTTGAGAAAATATTAATAGATAAAATACAAAAAGTGTATTGATAAAAAGTCAAGTCACGTACTAATAAGGCTGGATCCTTCATATCTTCTTCAGTTAACTCAACCTCGACATCATCGTCATCATTTTGAAATTGTACACCCAATGCATCAATATCAACTTCGGGTAAAACTGTTGTAGATTTTGGTGATTTATTTGTTGGCTTAGCAACCGGTTTTGATGTTTTGGATGTTTTTGGTGTTTTTGATTTCTGTTCATTTTTCAGGTCGCTAGTAGATAGTGCTCTTAATTCTCCCTAATCGCATAAATTATAATAAATTAAATTTGCTTTTTCCCATTTATGTTACTTTGAAATGATTACTTATGATTTTAAAGAAAAATTCAAATCACCAAAATACCAATAATTCTGGATTAACTAGATCTTCTTCAGTTAATTCATCAGCTCCCGGTGATAAATCAAAATCATCAATGCCAAGATTTAGGGATTCAGACGTTCTTGATCCGCTATTCCTTATTTTTTCCGAAGTTTTATTCCAACCAAACATTTTTTTGAAAGGTTCAGTCTAAAAAAATTATTTATGCAAAATCGATTGAGTAACGACAATCATGTGATACTTATTTTTGATAAATTTATTTTAGACCCAGGGTCTACACTCTTAACCTACAATATCTCGTAATTAGATTTAAATTATATTATGGAATTAAAATGTATACATTTAGGTTGGAAAAAAAATATTCTCAATTTTCGGTTTATATAAGTATCACATGATGTAGTTTCAGCCAATTGGAATTTAGAAATGTGGAATCACATGATTATCTCTTGAATTTGAAATTTTTTTTACCTTCAATAATTTGAAAATTATTTATTTATTAAAATTTATTTGATTTTATTATAAATTGAATCTATAGTTAGTATTATTACCAGTGTGACGATAAACTGTACTGTACGATTTTACATAAATTTTGTACAAAAATCGTACAATACCTATAAAATTTGTACAATACAGTACAGCCC